ATGCTGGGCACCTGCCGCATGGTCTGCGACCCCTACGGCGGCACCAAGGCGCCCAGCACGGCGGCCACGCCCGACCGCGGCCTCATGCAGTCCCTGCCCACCTTCATCCAGGGGCCCAAGGGGGAGGCCGGCCGGCCGGGAAAAGCGGGGCCCCGAGGCCCCCCGGGGGAGCCGGGGCCGCCCGGGCCGGTGGGGCCGCCGGGTGAGAAGGGGGAGCCGGGGCGGCAGGGCCTACCGGGCCCCCCCGGGGCGCCGGGGCTGAACGCGGCGGGGGCCATCAGCGCCGCCACCTACAGCACCGTCCCCAAGATCGCCTTCTACGCCGGCCTCAAGCGGCAGCACGAGGGCTACGAGGTGCTCAAGTTCGACGACGTGGTCACCAACCTGGGCAACCACTACGACCCCACCACCGGCAAGTTCACCTGCTCCATCCCCGGCATCTACTTCTTCACCTACCATGTGCTCATGCGGGGCGGCGACGGCACCAGCATGTGGGCCGACCTCTGCAAGAACAACCAGGTGGGCGCCGCGCCGGGCGCCGAGGGGGAGACGGGGACGTGAGGGCAGCGGGGGCCGGGGCGGGTAGCCAAGAGCCCTGAGGGGAGCCAGGTACCGTGAGGGGGGCGGGCGCCGGAGGGAAGACGGAGACGTGAGGGCAGCGGACGCCTCGAAGGCGGCGGGCGCCGGGCGCTAGCCGGGCTCCCTGAGGGGAACCAGGTACCGTGAAAGCGGCGGGCGCTGAGGGGGAGACGGGGACGTGGGGGCAGCGGGCGCCGGGGGGGTGTAGCCAGGCTCCCTGAGGGGAACCAGGTAGCGTGAGGGAGGCGGGCGCCCGGGAGAGCCGGGCTTCCTGAGGGGAGCGGGTGCGCTGTGAGGGGAGCGGGCGCCCGGGGGGAAGCGGGGTCCATGAGGGGAGCGGCGCCCGGCGGGGAAGCGGGTTCCCTGACGGGAGCGGCGCCCGGGCGGGAACCGGGTTCCCTGAGGGAGCGGGCGCCCAGGCGGAGCAGGAGTGTCTGAGGGGAGCAGGGTGCCTGAAGGCAACGGGGCTTCTTGAGGGGAGCAGCGCTGTGAGGGGAGCGGCGCCCGGGGGGAGGCAGGTTCCCTGAGGGAGCGGGCGCCCAAGGCGGGAACCGGGTTCCCTGAGGGAGCGGGCGCCCAAGGCGGGAACCGGGTTCCCTGAGGGAGCGGGCGCCCAAGGCGGGAACCGGGTTCCCTGAGGGGTCGGGAGTCGAGGTGGAGTCCCTGAGGGAGCGGGCGCCCGGGCGGAGCCGGGAGTCTCTGAGGGGAGCGGCGCGGGAAGGGCGGGAGGAGCCGCCGGGGGAGCTGAGGGGGGCTAACCGTAAATACTCTCTCGGCAGATAAACCGGGGCTAATAATAATCGTTAGCTTTGATCTCGCCTTACACAGAGGTAACAGCGGTCCGCCAGGAGAATACCGTCTGGCTTGCAATTAAAACATTTTTGACCCCCGTTTGTAACCACGGCATCGCAGAATAACGTTTCAAAGTGCTTATTTTCCCAATAAAACATAAACATACCAGTGTTTTCTAAAAAAGTAACCGCTTATAAATATTAAATTGAGCCCGAAGTTTAACCATTCCCAAGTATTAGCTACTTCCAGCGCCAGGCGTAAGGCAAATTTAACTCCTGGAGACTCAGGGCAGGGGCTCTATGTATATATTTGTATATACCTATGCGAAGAGAAGTATTTAGGTACATATCTGCATACAAACTATGTACAATTGATGCACCGTTTTCATGCAGCAGTGTCTCATTTTGATTATGATTTATACTTGAAACACTGAACGCTGATGGGATGTGACAGCGGTTAACTGTGTGTTATTTGTAAGCAAGCTCTCAGGAATTTTGGAAGTGAGTCTTTAAATGGAGTCTGGCAAAGAAAATATTATAAATTCAGTGTTTTCTCACAATGAAAAAACCCAAACCGTTGCAAAGTGTATGACTTACAGAAAAAAAAAATCATTCTTAAGCAATGCAGAGGAGGAATCTCACGCTCTCCTCTGTTAACACGTTGCTTTCTTTAATGGTTATAAAACTTGAAGAGGGAAGTGCTGAGATCACAGAGCGAGAGAGCCTCACTTCCCAAAAGATGAGGTGAGGAGTCATACAACTTAGGAAATGTATAGTCCGTTAATGGTTTAATTTGGAGATGCATTTACCCTCTTGCAGCAGTACACTGAGAATTCATTTGAGACCGTTCTCCTGGGGTTTTCCAAATAAATTGCCCTGGCTAACCAAACAAGGAGGTAAAACCTCTTAAGAACAGCATACTGGAGTTTACAGGACATTTTTAGCTATACATAGGGCAGTACACTTTGGTTTCTAGATTTTCAATACCCAGAATCTTTTTTTTTCTTCAGTCATTATGTGCTACATAGAATCTTAAAAATGAAATATCCATTGCTGTTGTAGTCAGTGCCCATATGCTGGCTCCCTTAGGATAGTCACTAATACAATTTAAATTCTCCTGTATTATCCACAGAAATGCAACACTCTAGATAAATCCGTGAAGTAGCATTTCATTATGATGTAAATGGAAATTTGGAAAGTAATTGAAACCATTTTGTTTGCCAGAGACACTAGTTCTCTATGAGAGTTTTTCTACCTCCCCTATACCTTTTTCCCTCCTTCCCATTCGCCCTTTCCAGCTGCATTCCCAACAACAGTCTCAGCCCTTTATTTTCTCTGGAGGGTATTTCCAGGGTTAATGGCCCAGAGCCTTGAACTCCACCCTGCCAGTCATTAATCCCGAGGAAATACCCGGTGTTTAGAACAATTATTGCTTAAATACTAGCAAAATAGCTCGCCTGTGTAAACAATACTAGGCAATCCAGGAGCAAGAAGTCCTGAAATAGCTGGGGTTTATCATCATGCCATGTATCAGTTTCAATTTGCCGACTGTGGCACCACTGCAAGCCTCTAAAGCCTTTCTCATTCTTCTTACAGGATGTATAAAGAATTTCCACCTACTGTGATTTTTAAGCTGCATAATGCCATAAAATCCTGCACGGTACAAGAACCCCCTCCTTTTTAACGTTTCAATATTAATGTGAAATCATATCACATGAAAATTTAATTTGGAAATTTATCATTTAAACTTTGAAAGGAACCCATGGAAAATTGTGACTTATAGCCTATTTTTTCAATTCAGGACAGATAAAATCCCACATACAGTACGCCAAGTCATGCATTATTACTTAGTTCAGGTTTGCAATGCCACTAAATCACTTACTGCTCTGTAACTACACTAGAACAAAGACAAATAACAAGCAGATGATGTGTTACGCTGAAATAAATCACAAACAACTCCGTTTAATTTTTTTACCAAACAGGGTCAAATTATGTATGAATGATTTGGAGACTTACAATGCCCCCAGACTATTCATTGCTGGAAACCAACATACATCTTAAAATTACAGACTAAAATTACAGTTTGCTAGTAATGTCAAATTTAATCAGTAATGGAATAGCAAAGGGCAAAATGGGAAAAAAAACCCAGATGTTTAAGTGAAAGTTGCAAACGGAAAGTCCACACCACCAGACCCACCTCTCCCAACTCCAGCTTTTATTATGTGTGGATTTTGAAAGGCTCCAAACATTTAGAGGAGGGCAAAAACAGCTGTGTATTAATCCAGATGACTGAGAAAGGAGCAGGATATTGCTTTAGTTTCAAATGTTGCACCGTAGGACAAAGTAGGAAAAAAAAAACCCTACAATTGATGTTGCCAGACATTTAAAGTGGCAACTTACGCACGCTGAATGAAATGTTGAGAATATGCTTTAATTTCACCATGCAGGCAAAATAATCTGAGTTATCTTAACCACTTGCTATGTATTTTGTGTAGGTTCGAGCTAGTGCCATCGCTCAGGATGCCGACCAGAACTACGACTACGCCAGCAACAGCGTGGTTCTTCATCTGGAGCCAGGAGACGAAGTCTACATTAAATTAGATGGAGGAAAAGCACACGGAGGAAACAACAACAAATACAGCACATTTTCTGGATTTATTATTTATGCTGACTGATAACGAGTCGAAAGACCCACCAAACCAGTCCAAAAACGAAGCTTGCTCTTCTAAGCAATGGATTTGCGTGGCAAAAGTCAATGAAACAAGCGCCCCAGCAGAGAGCAACCACCAAACACCTCAGCAGTGGGGGAAAAAAGTTGAATGCTACCTGACTCACATCTGTACAACTCAGAGAAACCTTATGTTAAAAAAATTACGAGTTAAACAGATGTGTGATCCACTACCGCCAAAGCAAATACTTCCTCATTGTTAGTGTCCATGTGAATGAAGTCCCACATAGATCAAATTTTTATAGAAAAAAAAAACAAAAACGAAAACCCACCACCTAAGGACGCTGAGTTATTTCTTCAGTGTATATGATACTTTGATGTGTTATGATCTTGCTGCTTTATCCATACTTCAGCTTTGGTTCTTGTGACTCGCTAACAATGATGCTTGGAGTCCACTCATAGTGGTGAGGAATGATTTTACAATAAAAGGAAGAGGTAATCAAAATATACTTTCTCTCTCCAAAGGAATTGTTTGCCTTGTACTTTTCTTATCCTTCCACTTAAAACTAGAAATTAATCAGCTTCAAGCCTTAACTCAATGTTCCTGCTCTGTAGGTTTACATTAGACTTTTAGCATCAAATCAATCCAGTGGAGTTGTTTAAATATTGTCTTCCCCTTAGCTGTGTTCTAAAAGAAAAAGGATAGAAGAAACACGTTTGTTTGGTTTTTTTTCCTGGAAAATAGAACAGGTGACAAAGTATTCTATTGGATCAAATCCCTGATTCCACCGAAGCCAATGGCAAAAGTCCCATTGATGTTAGTGGAAAAAGGATTTGGCTTTTAATTTGTAAACGTGTAAATATATATTTAGACAATATTATAGGCCCATTCTTGATGGTTAGTTGTGTAAATATTTAGCAAGCCTGACATCCACATTATCAGACTAAGGTGGAGTGTTTTCTTTGCAGCAACTAGTCTTCATTAGTCTTTTAGCACTTAGTCCGTACTTGGGTACTATTTTTACTAAAATAGTTACGACTTAACATACTGCAGGTGTTCAACTAGAATTTCGTAGGAATATAATGGGTCAAAACCTTATTTGTCTTAGGTGTCTGGTGTCCCTGCGGGGAGCGGGGTTACGGCCAGGAAGGAGGAGGGGGAGACCTGACCCACCAGAAAGGAGCGGGGTCACCCACATCTTCTCTGCGGTCCTAGGAAGGCCTGCCTATGGAACAGACACAGAGAAGCCTATTACCAAAAATGATAACACATATGCAAAGAAAGAAGCAGATATTTACATGCAAAAAAAGAAAAAGAAAAAAAAAAAAAAAGAAGTGTGTATTAAAACCTATTTTTCTCATTCATATATATAGAGAGAGATATATATAAAGTCTCAAAGAAGTTTAATCCATAGAAAGGATTAATGGCTTGGAGAATTAAACTAAACGCAGGTACTATGAGTTACATAGTTATAAAAATGCTTTAAAATCAGTCATACCAGTAATGTCCACAGAATATTTTTATTTGGAAAATGGACTATTATTTGCTTTGGTTTTGGGAGGGGAAGGCCACCTATTTCTCTCAGGTTACATCTCGGAGATTTCATTCTGAAGCTAAATTTTAGCAAGAGAATTAACTGGCTCCTTAGCACAGTTGGTTATGTGATTTATTTTTAGCATTTTGGCAAAATCAAGGTAACACTTCTATAAATTGTTAAAGAGTAGTAGAGCCTGCCCCTAGCATTTCTATTTCATGTAATTTGCCACAAGCAACCTTGTCTAATGTCCTGAGGGTGCAAACTCAGATTTATCTGCGCTAACGTGTTGCGAGTGTCTGCCACGGTGACAAGCGAGCTCCTCGGTGCTGGCTGCTCAGTAAAAGTCTGAGGAAGATTTTACAAATCTCTCTAAAAAAAACCCAACAAATCTCTTATTTGAATGAGCGAAGCTTTTCTTAAACAGAACGTGTTACCGTTTCTCTTTGTGTTTTGAGTCACCCAATTGGAAATCGATGCCGGGTTAGTCCAGGCTGACTGAGAGCCAGGATCTAACTCATCTAGGATTTAAGAGGGGACGTTGTGCTGCCTGTGTATTATCTCACCAGAGTGGTTCACGCTTTCACTTGATGACAAAGTGCCAACCTCTAGCTGTACGTTGTAGTGATTACTCCTGTTTGGGTTTTTTTGTTTGCTGGTTTGGTTTATTTTTCCTAGGAGGGAATGTATTTGAGTAAGGGGTGTATAACTGCCCCTGTCTGTCTGTCCCACTCTTGCTTTTCTCGGTTAGCGCGCTCGTGCCAGCAGCCTGGCTAGAGATTCTCCACGTCGTGTCCAGCAGTAACATCCCAAGCTAGAGAACAGTTCCCACTTAGCAATGCCCACTTCCTAAGGTGGGAAAGCTCAACACCACAGGAGGGACACGGTCACATTTGAAGAAGCTTCTGAAATCAGGCTACCGCTGCTACTGGATAAGAGCATTTTTTGGATAAATCACCCGCCCTGGTTAAAGTTAGACAAGAGCAAAGAATACACTTTGTGTGAAAAACACATCTAAGGCAAACATTTCTTCCTTTTTTTCATCATATCTTGATATACTGATTTGTAAAGACTTCTATCACAACCTTTGTTATAACTATTGCAACTCATTAAAACTGTATTATGTAATAGATTTTGACTTCTGGTGTTGCCTCCTTACAAAAAGAAGCCGGTCTGCGGGAAGTTTCATGGTGGCCCTGGGATTCCAAAGGTTGAGGATAAAAAATGAATGCGGTTAACAAAAGGCATCCGTAATAATACTGCACACAGTTTAGGAGGTCATCAAATCGCTTTATTCAAAAAGATAATTTTCCCATGTATTTTTTACACTTTCAGTTAAAATAAGAAAATTATTAAAATAGGAAGAAACAATATCTTTTTAAAATTATTAGAGATTTTTTTTTTGCCTGCTGTTATCTATGGAAGCTATTTAAAAGTCCCAGACCTTTTATCAAGCATTATTTAAAGACTATAAGGATAATTAGAATATTGTCAATATTACAAGAATTAAAATCATCACCCCGGAGAAGGGGAGTTTAATTTAAAACTGTAATTTCCTTCAAAGTCCAGACGATGCATCTTCAAAAATACTTTGTGATAACTTTTAATAATAGTATTAGATTACTCTCTAGAAACCATTATTTTAAAATGTCAATTGAAAACATTTTGCAGGTGGGATCACATCCAGTCAAACATCCGTGAATACACTTCTAGGAGGGACAAATGGCAGAGTGAAAACATAATTTTGTTGTTCTAATTAAAAATAAAAGTCATAATCAGTTTGTTCTCATGTAATTTAAAAAAAAAAAAAAGTAGTTTCTCTGAAAAGAACCAATTTTAAAATGACTGCTCTCCTGAAACTAATCTGAATTTTATCAAGCTCCTCTATAAAACAGGAATATTTATTCATTATTCCTATTTAAAAGTCAACCACCGCTTTGGATTTGCTTGGAGTATTTTATCAATTTTATCTTGGGATATGCCTCTAATTAGCATTTTAGGAACGATATTTTTAAGGATATGCGAGTACCCGTGGCCTCCATATTTCATCAGCCTGTTCTTAGTGTGCACATCATGAGCCATCAGAATTCTGTCTTCGTAGCCTTCATCGATCAGCATTCGGATCCTGCAGGAGCGAAAAGCAGACCCGTCAGTGAAAGGCTCTCTCTCTGCAACGGCACAGAACCCAGCAGCATTTACATTTTCCACATCCCTGCTGGACTGTATGATAACCAAACCCGCTTATTTTTAGGTAACTCGGAAGACATAATCCTTATATTTCATTGAAATCCAATTCACTGTGTGAATGAAAAAAGAACTCCACCTCTGCAAACATACCACCACGCATCTCAGAGTGGACGAGGAAAACCTCTTTCCAGCTGGCACATGCCTTTGTATTCCCACTCCCATTAAGGCCACGGAGGAATTCAAGAACTTGGGCATCGCCGAGGCCGGGACGCCGGTCCCACACACAGAAGTAATAATTTCCTACATCAGCTCCTTCTCGGCACAACGGATCCACGGGGGCAGCTCTTGCTGCTGTCACAAAGCCAGTCCCGTGACCTTTGTTAAGGACCAGACTCTGTGTGTGACAGGTCCTTCAAGAAGCCTGTCTCCTTTACAAATACTTGCACATCTTTAGCTAATTCCCACCCGGCAAACCAGGTTAATAAACATTTCAAGTTGTCAGCATCGTGTTCCAGACAGAGAGTTATCATCCAAACACACTTCCAAGACGTTCATGCCAGGAGGAGACAAAGAAGCCAGGCATCGCTCAGGGATGGCAGGTGCTGGGAAGTAAGAGGAGCCCAGCAAAGTCCTGCTTTGGCCGGGGAGTTGGACTGGGGGGTCTCTAGAGGTCCCTTCCAAGTCTGACAACTCCCTGATCCCGTGAAACACACCCGGCCAAACGACAACGAGGCTGCCTGGAAAAACCAGGAATTCCTTCCGGTCACTCCCCTATCACCGGTCTGCTGCAAGAAGTCATAGAATCATAGAATCATAGAATAGTCTAGGTTGGAAGAGACCCTTGGGATCATCGAGTCCAACCATCTCCCCTCCTCTATAAAGTCCTCCCCTACACCATGTCCCTCAGTACCCCATCTAAACGGCCCTTAAACACAGCCAGGGATGGGGCCTCCCCCCCCTCCCTGGGCAGCCTGTTCCAATGCCCGACCACTCTCTCTGTGAAAAATTCCTTCCTAATGTTCAATCTAAACCTCCCCTGTTGGAGCTTGAAGCCGTTCCCTCTCGTTCTGTCACTAATTACCTGTGAGAAGAGACCAGCACCAACCTCTCTACAGTGTCCTTTCACGAAGCTGTAGAGAGTGATGAGTGAGGTTTCCCCTAAGCCTTCTCCCCTAAGCCCTTCTGTTCCACGTTTCACTCTGGGAACCTTCTCCCCTAAGTCCTTCTGTTCCACGTTTCACTCTGGGAACCTTCATCCCTTGCTCAACTCGTTATTATTTTTTTTTTTTTTAGAATTATTTGGTGGGTATCTGTACTGCATGACAAAGATCTTTAAGTTTCCCAATAAACTTTGGTTTAATTTGGCAGTGGATTGCAGCAGCGAAGTGGCAGAGACCGACAGACCAGACTGGGAATGGGCTTATTCCTCATGAAGGCTCCCAATTCCATCGTTTGCCAGAGCTGCAGAATTCTAATTCTTACCTCCCTGCCCGTGCTTTGATTAGCAGTAAAGCAAATACTAGTTTTGTAAGTAACCACACTGTATCTGAAAGCCCTTACTGTCAGTTTTTACTACAATTAGTTATGAGAAGGCACATGTAGCAGGCTCAAATCAATATGGGCACCAGGAAGAAGGCAAGTAAAATAGAAGCTGGTAAAAGAATTAGCACCTTTCATAAAAACACCATAAATAGTGCCCTATAGGACACTGTAGCATTACATCATAAGTATCTTCTTCAGCCTGAAATACAGAGAGAGCACAGGACAAACAGAAAATGAGAGCAATGATACTGGAGGAACTAAGTTGTTTTGCTGAGCAAACATCTTCTTAGAATCATCTCCTTTCATATTTGGACTAATTTCATGGGTTGGGGGAGGTGTATGGACCTTTAGATTCCATATTCATTGCCGCTTTTTTCTCACTCCTGTAAGTTTGGTCAGTACTTGCTTCTGACTCAAAGAAACACTGTCCCTAAAAAAATCCAGTTTTTTACTTGCCTTGGCAGTAGATTGCAGCAGAAATGCCAGAGCGCGCAGCCGGCTGGGCTGTGCTGGGGTAGGGGGTATGGCTACAGAAGTTTACATTTTGAACAGACAAGATCTGACCATGTATTTTCCATTTAGTATTTTCATCAAAACATTCAAAGGTCAGTTTGATTTCCACCTGTCTGGTGCTGGTGGACAAAAATAAAACCAACCATCCTATGCCCGTTGTGGGGCATAAAAAAGCCCCCAAAACCCATTCGATGGGCACCACACAATGAGAAGACAAACTCTTCTCATTTTCTTCCTATAGAGGGCTTGCTGCAAGAAACACTCAGGGGCCAGAGAGTTTAAGGAGAGACATGGGTGGCTGAATGAGGAGCATGGATGGAATGAAATGAGGGCCACACCAACCCCCTGCAGCACCACAGGCTGGGGGAAGTGTGGCTGGAGCTGCCTGGAGGAAAGAGACCTGGGGGTTCTAGTTGACAAACGGCTGAATATGAGCCGGCGTGTGCCCAGGGGGGCAAGAAAGCCAATGGCATCCTGGCTTGTATCAGAAATAGTGTGACCAGCAGAAGTAGGGAGGTGATTGTGCCCCTGTACTCAGCACTGGTGAGGCCACACCTCGAGTGTTGTGTCCAGTTTTGGGCACCTCAATACAAGAGAGAGGCTGGTGCTGGTCTCTTCTCACAGGTAATTAACAACAGAACGAGAGGGAACGGCTTCAAGCTCCAACAGGGGAGGTTTAGATTGAACATTAGGAAGGAATTTTTCACCCAAAGAGTGGTCGGGCATTGGAACAGGCTGCCCAGGGAGGGGGTGGAGTCACCATCCCTGGCTGTGTTTAAGGGCCGTTTAGATGCAGTGCTGAGGGACATGGTGTAGGGGAGGACTTTGTAGAGTAGGGGAGATGGTTGGACTCGATGATCCCAAGGGTCTCTTCCAACCTCAATGATTCTATGATTCTATGATTCCATGATTCTATGAAAACCCTGCTGGGGTTGAGCAAGCCCTTGTTAAGGAAGGCACAGCCCGCTCCTCTACACACCCTCCTCCCGGGGCTTCTGCCCGTGGTGACCTCCCGCCGCAGCGGGGAGAGGAGGGGAGGGAGGGGAAAATGTGAAATTTCTAAATGTGAAAACTGCAGATTCACTGCAACGGTTTAAAACACCGAGTGTGTATCTCTCCCCTGTTAGGAGAGAGAAATGATTTCCAGCACGGAAAGCAGCAGCAAACACTTGGCAGTAAGTGGGATGGTAACCACAGCACCCCGAGAACAGAGAAGAAAAGTTCTGAGGCTCCCCTGACAAGGAGGGGCAGGGAAGCTATCTCTGAAATACAAGGCAAAGCTAGAAAGTTACTTCATTAGTGATCAGGGATCGTAAAATATTTCTCATCAGAGAGAATCACAGAATCACAGAATCTTAGTGGTTGGAAGGGACCTCTGAGATCATCGAGTCCAACCACAAAAAAAAAAAAAAACACCAAAAAAAACCCAAACAACACACCACACCAAACGCCCACCAAAAACACCGCACCCACCAACTAAACCCCACACTCAACACCTCACCATAAACCAATAACCTTGGGCACTAGAGCATGCCCTGAAGAGCCATGTCTATACGTTTCTTAAATCCCTCCAGGGATGGTGACTCCACCACCTCCCTGGGCAGGCTGTTCCAGGGCCTGACCACTCTCTCAGTAAAGTAGTTCTTTCTAATATCTAATCTAAATCTCCCCTGCCCCAACTTCAGACCATTTCCTCTGGTCTTGTCGTTCGTCCTTTGGGAGAAGAGGCCAACACCTGCCTCTCTACACCCTCCTTTCAGGGAGTTGGAGAGGGCAAGGAGGTCTCCCCTCAGCCTCCTCTTCTCCAAACTAAACACCCCCAGCTCCCTCAGCCTCTCCTCGTGTGACTTGTTCTCCAGACCCCTCACCAGCTTGGTGGCTCTCCTCTGG